AACAGCACATAAATGAAAAACTTCAAGTAAACATTCACACAGTCAGCCACTGTTATCTCTTAAGAGATAAATTCAAAAACATTAAGATAACTGAAGCTAACAATATAGACATTTCAGTTTTGCTAGACACTTACTGTAGGAATGGTAACCTATCGTGTCTCCTCTGAAACACACTCAGCCTCCTAAGCCACCCATATACATTTTCCCCCACATTGAAGACTAACCATAACTGAACAGAGAACGTAATTACTGTTTTCAGACAAGAGAAACCACTTGAGTCATTGCTCCTGAACTACAGCTTCCAGCTAGAAAATAAAAACCACATTGAAACAAAAAATTTCCACAACAACCAACAAAGCAGCATCCTCTCTTCATATCCTGACCACTCCTTGCTAAAGGATTCATATTCAAGTAAATATAAACAAATGAGCTTGATTTAAGGAAGGATATTCTACCTCATAGCTCTTCTCTATGCAATTTGCAATGAGTGCTGGGTGTCCACCTGTGGGGGCAGACAGGGTGCAGGTGGGTACTGACTAGTTTGAGCCCCTTGGAGGCAGAAACACCTGTTGTTTTCCCCCAGTGGTCAGGATAGTGATGAATCCCCTGTGTGATTCCCTGGTGATAAGTAGAATTAACTGTCCTTAAACATTCTTTTTTTCAATTGGTACCTTACTAGTGAACAACCAGCTGTGTGTGTATAGCAGTATCCATCCCTACCACACTGATGTAGGGAGCAAGAACACATTTGTCAGATCTTCCTGAGCTGTTTTTTTGTTGTTTGTTTGTTTAGACAATATCAACAGTGTTTACAGCTCCAGGAATTTCAGCTGCTGGCGATGCCAACCTGGGTCTGAAGGTCTCTGCCATAAGTGACAGATTTTCTCACAGCTGCCAGCTGTGGCCTTGCAGCATGTCTCCTTCACAATAACAATGCGTGGATGTCATACAGCAAGGCACTATATTTTCCAGACATACACATCTGCAGTCAGTGTTTATCTTAATCCCATCATAATCACATTTCACTGAAAGACTGGCTTTGGATTAACTTCTAAACAATTGCTCTTTTAATTTAAGGTCTGATTGTGGATGGAAAAAAAGAGAATCTTAGTTTCCATCTGGAGTGAGAGAGAAAAGTTAAAGATACGAGTTTCTGTCTATTCTTTTTTTAATTCAGCACAACATTTCTGTAGGACAAAAATCTATTCTCCATCAGCTATCTGAGGTCTTAACAATTGAGAAGGAGCAAATATTTTAATAAAACATAACATATGCTTAAGTAGCTATGTTTGGGACTTTTTTGAGGCTGATTTATAAAATGGCTCCTGCTACAGCCACATTACCTGCCTGGATGTTCCTGTCTCTACAGCAAATACTTGATTTTTATACAGTTGATTTTTTGTTTGCAAAGAAAACAACAACCTTAACATTCTTCTTCTGTCTTTTTTTTTTTTTTTTTTTTTCTTTTTCTGTAGGTGGTCTATCAAGTCTCTTTTGTGTCAGATTTTGTGTTTTCATCTACCAAGCAGAGCAAAATCTCTCAATCTTTATTTTTTTACACTGAGGTCCCAGTCTGTTTCTGATTTTCCTTCCTATAAGGAAAGGTAATTGTAGTATTATATTTGCAGGCAACTTCTAGATGCCAACTCATCCAGTGTCCAGCTCAAATTGAAGACATCTTAAAAGCTAACCTGAAACTATTTTTTAAATATAATTACTAACATATTTGAATAAATAAACCACTGGGTGAATAACTTGAGTGATTTCTTATAGAAACTAACTGAAATTAAATGGAAAAGATAGTAAACACTCAAGAAGAACACCTCAACCAGCTCAACCTCAGCTGATTCACTTAAAGAGTGAAGTCATGGAATCATAGAATCACAGAAAGGCATAGGACCACAATGACAATCTAGGTTGAACCCCCTGCTATGTGCAGGGTCGCCAACCAGCAGACCAGGCTGCCCAGAGCCACATCCAGCCTGGCCTTGAATGCCTCCAGGGATGGGGCATCCACAGCCTCCTTGAGCAACCTGTTCCACTGCCTCACCACCCTCTGTGTGAAAAACTTCCTCCTACTTTCCAACCTAAACCTCTCCATCTCAGTTTAAAACCATTCCCCCTTGTCCTATCACTATCAAACCATGTAAACAGACAAACCCCTTCCTGTTTATACACTCCCTTTAAATATTGGAAGGCCACAATGAGGTGTCCCCAGAGCCTTCCCTTT